CAAACAAAAAGCAAATAATCCAATTAAAAAATGGGCAAAGGAGCTGAACAGACAGTTCTCCAAAGACAAAATTCATATGGCCAACAGGCACATGAAAAGATGCTGCACATCGCTAATTATCAGAGAAATGCAAATTAAAACCACAATGAGATATCACCTCACACCAGTAAGGATCACCACCATCCAAAAGACAAACAGCAACAAATGTTGGCGAGGATGTGGAGAAAGGGGAACCCTCCTACACTGCTGGTGGGAATGTAAATTAGTTCAACCATTGTGGAAAGCCATATGGAGGTTCCTCAAAAAACTCAAAATAGAAATACAATTTGATCCAGATATTCCATTCCTAGGAATTTACCCTAAGAATGCAGGATCCCAGTTTCAAAAAGACAGATGCACCCCTATGTTTATAGCAGCACTATTTACAATAGCTAAGAAATGGAAGCAACCTAAGTGTCCATCAGTAGATGAATGGATAAAGAAGATGTAGTACATAAACATAATGGAATATTATTCCGCCATAAGAAGAAAACAAATCCTACTATTTGCAACAACATGGATGGAGCTGGAGGGTACTGTGCTCAATGAAATAAGCCAGGTGGAGAAAGACAAGTACCAAAATCATTTCACTCATCTGTGGAATATAAGAATAAAGCAAAAACTGAAGGAAAAGAACAGCAGCAGTCTCACAGAACCCAAGTAAGGACTAACAGTTACCAAAGGGAAAGGGACTGGGGAGGATGGGTTGGAAGGGGGGGATAAGGGGGAAAAAGGGGCATTATGATTAGCACATATAATGTAGAGGCAGGGCACAGGGAAGGCAGTACAACACAGAGAAGACAAGTAGTGATTCTATAGCATCTTACTATGCTGATGGACAGTGACTGTAATGGGGTATGTGTTGGGACTTGATAATGAGGGGAGTGTAGTAACCATAATGTTGCTCATGTAATTATACATTAATGATACCAAAATAAAAACAAGAATAAAAAAACAAATTTCCTTTAAATTTCTGACCTCCTAATAAAAAGAACTCTCTTAGATTTTCTTCAGTGTTAATGTCAGAAGATACATTATGAGCTTTGTGGATGTGAGAAAGTGGCAATTTTTCCATCTGGAACTGACTACTGTAAACTTAACAACCTTATAAATTTTATGGGATATTTTCTCTTTAAGTAACTTTGGTATTTTTACTTAGGTATTGGTGAGCCAATGCTTCTAAATCTTGTCTTGAAATGTTTCTGTACGTCTACTTTGTTTTTTAAATGCTTTGCTACATTTTCTTTCAAATTATTCATATTTTAGTTGCTGGCCACCAATTTGTCAGATAAGAGCCATAATATAATTTAAGAGGCAAAGTACTTGTGAAGTAAACAAAATTTATTACTAAGCAAACATAAAGAGTGACAGAGTGAAATTAAGAATTATAAGCACACTTACAGATGAGAAATATTTTCAGAGTAAGTATTAAACTTTTGGAATGAGTGTTATGTTCTAAGAAGTCACTTCATTCTGTTTTTTCCAATACCTACCTGAATTTCTGCAGAAATAGCTTTGATCCACTCATCCACTACTTTTCTGATCCGAATCTTCTCTGACATCTCTCTACAAAAGAGAAAAAAGGATTTTCTTGAATTAGTATTTAATGTCCTGAGAACAGGACCTGGATCAGATCACTTGTCTAGTTTTGAATCTACTGTGTTCCCCAATATTTGCCATCTGAAAATAAAAAAACCAATATTATTAGTTTTTATCAAATGTTTAAAAGGTATTTGGAAAGCACATGTAGATTCCAGAAGATTAGTCCCAAAGATAGAAAAAGAATTAAAGGGAAAATTTACATCTGTAAAAACTAGTATCAATATATGTATACCCAAATTCCAACTTTTAAGTCCAAATCATCAAAAGCTATAAAAAAACCTTTGCTAAACACTAAAACACATTAAGCAAAATGAAATGCTAAGAAAAAAAATTAAGAAAGAGTATTAAACAGGCAGTTTCATAAATAACCTTGGAATACCAACATAATGTCTTACCTGTTAGTAGATAGAGCATTGATAAATGAATACATGGCAGCTCCATCCTTTGCATGAATAATAGCTTCGAGGTTTTCTTCCAGTACTTTTTTATTGTTTTGTACTCCTCTCAAAATCTTTTCAGCATCTTTCAATATGGATCTCGTATTGGTGGTATGAAGGCTAATGGAATTCTGTGGAAGATCAGCAAGCTTTGAGATAATCAGAGATTCTTTTGGCTTAAAAGAAAAAAAAGACAAAAACATTACCATGTAAAACTCAAATTAGTCATTTTTTAATACAAACAAGATTATTTTACTACAAAACTAACTTTAATATAAACAAGAGCTATTACTATAGTTAGGGCTATACACTAGAACAATAAATTCTAAAGGACTCAAGATGTAAAACTGAAGACCTATAAAAGAATATTTGGCAATTAAGGTTTCTCTCCATTTAGAAGTACTAATGTGTATGTTAAGTAAGGCTTGGAAGTCCACAGAAGTGGTAGGCAGTACCAAACAGTACTGTGACTAAAAAAGCTGTATCAGGTGAAAAAAACTAAAACAAAATGACAGCAAGTTGGCTCTATACAGGCATGTCAGACACTGTGGACTGAATAAATAAGGTCATTCACAGTTCTCTTTCTTCCCTCCTTCTTTGCCAACAGAAGCTGGAAAGCTGGAGGTGGCCACATGGTTTGGTCCTAGCCAAGGAGCAGTAAGTAAAAGTCACTTGGTGATAGTTTTATAAAGAGAACAGACTGGGATGACATGTCTTTTTCAGAGCTTTATCTTCATCCTTTCTCTTGGCTTTTTGTCCTGCTAACTTTTTTATTTCTTCATAATTTTTACCTTTACTAATCATCAATTTTAATATCCTATTCCTACTTTACCTGGAATATGTCATTTGTTTCTATCCTCTTTTGGCCAAGATCATGAAGAATATTATCAGACTTCTGCACAGCCACTTTAGCTATTTCTAGTTCTTCACAGGAAGGAAATCTTTGAGAGGATAGAGTGCCAGTGCTATAAAAACATTTAAAAAATGAAGCTTCCTAAAATTGTCATAAAGTCAGTAAACATTTGATTACATAAATCTTTGAAACATTCTTAGTTAGACATTACTAAATGGTATCCTGTTAAAATTATACAGGGAGATTATAGTTAGTTACATAATTTCACATATGAAACAGAAAATCACAAGACATAAAATTACTCTGACCAGCCTGGTTTAGGCATAGTAGAAAAAGTGCAGAAAAAAGGTTTTGCTTTAAAGAAGCTAACATGAACAAGCACTTAGAGAATGGTACAGTAAGAACCTCTAAAAACCTGCTCCCACAGAAGAGCTAAGTGAACTCCAGCAAAAATGGTCAAAAATCAGCTTTTACAGAACTCTGGAAATTAAACAAAGGCTTGCAACCCAAGAAACATTTAATGAAGAAAAATGACTGACTCTTAGTAAAAACAGTAAGCTTTTGACTTTTTAATTTGCACCAATTCCAGAACCCTTTCCCCAATGCTGCAGTAGCCTTAAAAGTCAATAATCTCACAAGCCCTGAACCCTGAAAACCAACAGCCTCACAAACACTCAAAAGGGCAGAACAGATTTGGCGCTCCCAAAAAATCTCATTCACAGAGTTTCTCTCTATTTAACTTGACTCAGAGCTAGCTCAATGAGAAGCCCTACTCCCAGATAATTTTTCAAAATCAGTGGCAAATGTTCAATATCTCAACTGCCAGAGGTAGCAAAAACAGTTAAGGCAAACAAGAGGTTTGCCAATAAACTAAAAGCCTGGGAAACGAGATATCCATGGTGGAGCTTTGAAAAGATCCAACACATTACTGGAGATCTAGAAGGTCATATCCATGTACAGGGCTATATGCATGCCTAAGAAAGGCCTGAAAAAGGCATTATCTCCTATGTCTGGCTGACCTTGCTGTGCACAAGTGGGAAGTTAAGGCTACAACCAACTCATAAACTGTCAGAGCACTGAAGGTATGCCCCAACACATTCCATACACAGCCCCTTGGCCAAAGAGAGGAAGACTTAATGGCTTAAGGTAGTTAAGGAAATCTCTTCCAATCACTAGCAGACTTAGCTAACCAAACAGAGACTTTGCTGACATTCTTAAAGAAAAAAAATGTCAACCAAAAATTCTATAACCAGCAAAACTATCCTTCAAAAGTAAAAAAGAAACTAAGTTGTTCCTAAACAAACAAAATTGAGAGAATTAATCACTAACATACCTCCCTTACGGTAATACTAAGATGAGCCCCTCAGAGTGGAATAAAAGGAGACTAGATGCTAAATCAAGTCCCTATGAGAAATAACTGTACTGGTAAAGGTGAGCTATATAGGTTAATATAAAAGACAGTATAAAACATTTTTGTTTATAACTCTTTTCCTATCTTATTTAAAAGACAACTGCATAAAGCAGCAATTATCAAGATGTACAGATGAGCTGTACATAATGTGTAAATTTATAATGTATAATGTATAAATATGCATGAAAATAATAGAAGGAAGAAATGGGAAGGGAATGGAGTATATCGAACCAAAGTTTTTAAATCCTATTGAAATTAAATTGGTATTAATCCAAACTAGATTGTTTTAAATTAAGCTGTTACTTCAATCCCTAGGGCAATCACTAAGAAAATAAAACTATATAGTAAAAGAAGCAATAAGGAAATTAAAACGTTATACTAGGAAACATCTATTTAATGCAAAAGAAGGCAGTATCCAGAGATAGAATTTTAAAAAGACCTCAAACATAAAAAGCAACATGACAGACATAAATCTCACTTTATCAGTAATCATATTAAATGTAAATGAACTAAAATTGTATTGTCTCCACATGAAATTACTAAAAATGTGCCTCTTTTAGGTCTTATTATTGTAGCTTTCATGACATTCACAGTAAATAAAATTATCATGGCCTAGATTTATTGGCTTTTAAGTGTTTTATTATGTAAAATTTCAAAAATACACAAAAGTAGAATAATAGCCTCTGTGATACTGTTTAGCTATAATAATCATTAAGTGAGGGCTATCCTCATTTCATCTATACTTTCAACCCAGATTACCTTACCTGTGTTGGTTTATTTCTGAAGCAAATCTAGATATCATTTCATCACAAATAAATAATCTTCATTCATTAGAAATTAATAATTTGCATTTTGAGAAAATTAGACACATTCATTTTATAACTATACTATAGAAAAAGGGGAAAGATATATTAGCAACAGGAAATAGTAGATAAATTTTAATTTGGAAAAGCAATGCTATAAATTTATTAAAATTCCTAGAGAAACTTTAGAAATATGAACAAAGCTCTTTGCAGTACAGCTTTTATTCCAATCTCTCTTTTTCACCTGTCTCTCGTCTCAGGATTCCATCCTATTTTTGATCTAGTTAGTGAGGTTTTGTCTGAAGATTCACTTTTTCTTGTCAAACAATCATGGTTATTCAAAATTTGTTCCAATAGTCTTACATTTCCTACAGTAAAAAAAAAAGTACCATTTTTCAAGTACTGATTCATTTCTCTTTTATATAATATCTCACATATATTTGTACCAAGTTAGTTTCTTATGATGATTATCTACTCAATTCACTCTACAACATAAGGCATAAATACAGTCATCAAATAAAACTAAATTTTTATAACTCATGAAAATAATTCTGGTAAGTTTAGGCCAAAATTTATTTCCACCAGAGGAAAAAAGGAATTTGAATGAGAAGTATCATCATCACAAATCACAGCAAATTCAATTATTGTTATAAATAGTAAAAAAGGATGTTTAACAATTTGTTTCTTCACATCAACTATTAGTTGAATCTTCCCTGTAGTCTCATCTTTAATGAGACTATATAATGACTTTTTTTTGGTTAGGTTGACCTGTTGATTAAAGATTTTATCTTTCAAATTCCTTGAATGTCTTTAAAGTATCCAAGATAAAACTGAATGCACTTAAATAATTCTAAGAATAAAACCTTATATTTAAATTTTTCTCTTTCTTTTACCAGAAGGACTACATTTTAAGGATCTGTAGCAAATTATTATTTCAGGGCACTTATAAAAGTCCTATTTTAAATAGTTCTATATTAAATAGTTTGTATATTAGCACATTTTCCAACTAAACATAGTAATAAATATTAAATTTCTCTGAGTTTTATTATTGAAATTCACACCTAAAAACAATATAAAGAAACATGCTCTAAAATGATCAATACTACCTTCAACAAAGCATTTAAAATTTATTAATAACAAAACTTATTCATTAAAAGTTTAAGTAATAACCCGTAGAAGACAATCAGAATGATACAAATGTATGCCTCTCATTCCTTCTACAAAGAATCTAAAAGAGGTTGATTTGCCCAGTACATGTCTTTTTTGTTTTTTAAATAAAATAGAGATCCTACTTTAGTTACTACTAGGCACATTTGAGAATTATAAATCATTAGTGCAAAAATCTGCTCCTAATTTGAGAAAGGTCTAATAAAAGTAGTCCTGCTAATTGTAATTGCTTTAGTACCTGACATCTTATTTTCTTTTTCTTCAGTGGGATTTTCCCTCTTTGATATTTTATCATCCTTTGAAACAGGTACAGGAACAAACCTGCGAGGTGCTGGTGTCTCAAAACTCATATTTTCAATCTCTCTAGAAGGAGCTTTAGTAGACAACAGAGTAAATAATAGTATTAAACTTACTTTAAAAAATACTTTATACAGTGTTCCTCTTTATCATATTTTATCATATTTTAAAAATAAAACCAAAATTGTACGGGATATACAAATTATTAAGAAGTATGTAGAAATAACTTCATCAGGAGAAATCAAAAGAAATACAGGCTTAGAGCTAATACACTTAGAGCTAATAAATAAGAAAAAAATCAATATGACAATAGTGCAATTTAAGCTATTTAAACTGGTGAAAATGACATAGCTGGACACTGTTTTTGGCAATAAAAACTGGTAAGATCATTTGACACTAGGTATAGGAAATCGTAAAATTTTTATATACTTTGATTTAGTGATCTTACTCTTGGGAATTTATCCTAAGAAAATATACTGAAAGAAATAAAACATTATATATACGATAATATATAAATATGTCAAATATCTATATAAATATATTATGGCTTTAATTCAGTAATGTTTACAAAGAAATAACCCTACACTGCCTAAATGTCCAACAACAGGATAACTATCAAGTAAACTGAATTAATTATTCAGGACTTTCCTTCAGGTATTAAAAACTAGCAAAACATGGGAAATACTTTTGATATGCTACTAAAAGCAATACAAATTTATATTTATGCCATTACAAGTACTTAAAAGTGATGTATGCCCAAAAAATGTAGAGAAAAGAAAGTTTAAATTGTTGAATTTTTAATTTACTCATTTTTTCTTTGATTTCACCTAGTGTCACTAAAAATACAAAAAGAAACCAATTCAGTATATAACCAATAAAACATACATCTTTCTCCTTTAAAACTCAAGTCTGAAAAACAAAATTATGAGCAAGTAATTCTCTAGAATAAAGTATGAAACAAGTGCCTGCTGCTAGAGAAAACACATAGCCAGGTCATACTGAAACCTGAGTTTTGGCTGGAGCTCTGACACTCTCACTCGCAAGCCAGTTAACCTTCAACAGGCTAGTTATGACCTCTTCCTCTCTTCACAACTTAAAAACTAAACCATATTAATCACAAGTTTTGTAAGGACCCCTCTGATTTGCTGTAAAACATAAAAGAACTTAGAAATATTAGGAATCTTTGTTTACAATACAATAATGTTCTAAAAAATCCAACATTGGGGATATTGTACTCCATTGGTTTGCATATAACAAAAGGGACAGCCCTTAATTTTCATTATTTCATTATTCAAATATCAATCATTTGGAAATCATTTATTTTAAATTTCAAAGGTTTAATACAAATGAGCTATGTATTCCCATTCTTACAAACAGAGATTTAAAAAATTCTATTAAGGTAGATAGTATTGCACTGCTAACTCCTTGAAAATACTTAGAAATAGTTTATAATTATACTGAGGTGGTTTCTCTCCTGACATAATCAAGAAAATTGTAAATAGGCAGTTTGTCGGAGAACTGGAGAATTAATTACAAGCATTTTGATATTAAATAAGTAAAAGTTTTCTAACTTTATAAGTACTTCTGACAATTTATGAAGGTTATTCATTAAAACCATAAAGCAGGTATGATCCATAATAACTGAACAAGTTTTGAAATGATCTAAAAATTATTTAACCTAAAAAAGGAACTAATTTTATAAAACAAAGACTTAGTCTTTTACAACCTAGTAAATAAGTTGTTGGCTTACACACAACAAAGAAAATTCATAGCTGACGTTTTATAATCAAAGAAAATTACATATTTTTACCTGGTTTGGAAGTAAATGTGTATTGTGAAGATAGATTACTGCCACCAAGATTAGAATAGTCTGGTTTTACAGAATATTGTTCTACTATGCTAGAAGGAGGCATGACAGCAGGCTGAAAACTACTAGTCTTGAGTGCAGCACTAATGAAATGAGTCTAGAAGACATAAGATTATTTTATTAATTCAAATATCACTTGAAACAGTTAGATGACAAAATACACTGCAATTTATTAGAGGACTTGAAAACAATTTTATTAGACTTACTAAACAATGAAAATACATGCAATATATTATGGTTTTAATTCAGTATTGTTTACAAAGAAATAACCCTACAACTGCCTAAATGTCCAACAACAGGATAACTGTCAAGTAAACTGAATTAATTATTCAGGACTCTCCTTCAGGTAGCACTGAAGCAGCAATGCCACTTGGGGGGAATATACTATTACAAAGACCTGGGTTAACCCTGATCTATGGTGTGACCTTGATCATTTTATTTAACCATTCTAAAACTCAGTTTCTTCCTTTCTACTTCAAAGATGGCTCAGAGGCCACTGAAGCATGCTAGGTCCCTTTTGGAGGGACCCTGGCCCTAACCTCTACTTCAACTAGAGAATTTAAAATCTAATTTAATCAGAGAATTTTAACTCAAAACATCTCATCTTTTATATCCTGGATGATTTCATTTGAAGGGTTAAAAACCACCACTAGTAAGTATTCAAAAAAACAGTACTCATGCTTAGTAGCAGCAATAATATATGTATGCACTTACATATAAATGGGAACCATAGTGACAACAGTTTTCAGCATGATTTATTACAATATCTGGAATGTGTACATATCTTACTTTATAAAATCGATTTTAAAAGGAAGTTTTATGCCAGTTAAAGAAAAACCCAAAAAGATTTATAGTTTATAGAATTCTTAAAATGTGCAGAGATCCCTCTACACAAACAGATGGAACAGACTCAACAAAAGTTCATTTCAATAAGCATTTACTGAACTACTAATATACCTAGTGAATCACTGAAACTTCAATTTTCTCTCTAATTATAAGCTTTATAAATAAGACATTTGAATTAGCAAAGATTCCATTCTTCCAAAAACATAAAGCCAATGAATTCTGGGTTTATTTATGTAAGGATGGAAGAATGAAAGACAGACATGTAGGACAAGTAAGGACCCCCTTGTTAAGAAATCACTGTGCTTTTCAAACATGTCATCTCATTTTATTCTGAAAAAATAATATCTTTTCAAGACAAAGAAATCAAGCATCACAAAATTACAGTTATTTGCAGGCTGGGGAGCAGCACTCTGAGAGACCCACTCATTCCTAGCTTCTCCCTAGATAACATGCTGCACACTCAATTTTAGTTGTGCATGTAGTACTCACTAAAACTTTACTTTGTATGCCCATAATCATTCCAATAAAAATATTATCTTGAACTACATGAAAAACTCAAGACAAGCTCCACTGAGAAGTCTAAAATTACAACATGCTAGTTTCACTTTGTGATAGTATGCTGAGCTATAATAAACTTATTATTGTATATTCTTCTGAATCTTCTACTTTAGCTGAATTTTTTAAAGTTTTAAAGTTGTACATTAATTAGAAAAAAAGTAAATTAAAACCAATGCATTTATAATGCAGGTCATTCACTGATTCAAAAAAAAAGTATACGGAGTTCCTGAGTTCTGGGTACCATCCCAGGCCTTGGAAATTCCAAGATACTGTACTATCAGCTGTACTATCAGCTCCCTGTGAGGATAGCTCTTCTTTTTGTAACAGCCCAGAGGTTCATATCCAAAAGGCACTATAATTTTTTCATTCTTTTTTTTTTTTTTTT